ATTTCTGTTTTATTTGACGGTGGACTTCAGATCGGAGGTTTGAGTCAATGAAACTTCCAGTCTGTGGCTTTTGATCATTGTTAGTTTGCACAAGGTCCTTCTCTTATTTCACTTAATAATTTGCTTTCTTTCACCCCATTTCCTCTGTGTTTTGACAATCATTCTAACATCCTTGATATGTGCTCTCTGATTTGTATTTGTTCTTGTGAGATATGTATTGCTTTCTGGGTGCATAAATGTTTTTAAATTATTTTTTAACTTTTTAAGTGAATGGACTTTATTTAATTAGAGGAGTTTTAGGTTTACAGGAAAATTGATCGGCATATATCAAGAGTTTCCATGTACCTCCTCTCCCTGCCCACAGTTTCCTCTATTGTTTACATCTTGTATCAGTGAGGGACATGTTTACAGTTGATGCCCCAATATGAATACATTAGTATCCACTAAAGTCCATGGTTCACATTAGGGTTTACTCTGTGTTCAACATGCTGTGGGTTTCAGCAAATGCATAATGACAGGTGGCCTCTGTTGCAGTCCCACAAGGATGGTTTCATGCCCTACATTTGTAATGTGCCCAAACGAAATCATGGTAGAGAGTTCATCCTGTGTTTTGCTTTATTCACTCGATAGTATTTTAAAGAATAATTTATTTAAGATGCTCTGTGTACATCTAATTCCTGCCTAAGGCTCCAGGATTTGCATCCAACCCAGCTTACCTGCCCTCTCCCCAATTATAGGCAGACAGGCTTGTCCAACTCTCCCACTAAAAGCAATCCTACAGGAGACATCCTCTTACACGTCCCCTCATAAATAGGCTTTTGAAATGGAGACAGACACTCAGGAGCAGAGGAACATCGTCTGAATTTTCACCATTCTACCTCCCACCAACAGTGCACCAGTTTCCCTTCTCCCCATAGCCCGATCAACACTGGGCGTTTACTGATTTTGGAATTGAATAGGTGCACAGTGAAATTCCATTGCTGTTCTCTCTCTCTCTGTGTCTCTCTCTCTCTCTTTAGCCTGGCACCTATTCACTTACCTTCGTGCCTCCTGCTGTGTTTTGTCTGCTCATATCCTTTGCCCATACAGGGATGAGCTTCCTATGCTTTCTTGTTTATTCTTCTTGACAGTATTCCCTTCACAGTTTTAGACATTGCAAATGATCTTTTCCCAATTTTCTAGCTGCCTGTTAACTTTATCCAGGATATGCTCCACCAAACAAAAATACTTCACGCAGACATTTTCATGTCTTTCAAATCACCTTGTCATTGCTGCTTTTGAAATTTTGTTTTAGAAATCCTTCTCCGCTCCTAGAGCACAAAGTTATTTCCTTACACTTTCTCCTACTAACCTTATACTTTATCTTTCATATTTATGTCTTGATCCACCTGGATTCCATCTTTGAATGTGGTCTTAAGCAGAAATTCTGATTTACTTTGCTTCATAAAATGGACATTTTTTGCACCACAAATCCATCTTTTCCCTTTGATTTCCGCTGCCACCTTCATCATATATTAGGTTTTGATAATGCAGGGATATTTCCTGAGCTTTCCAGTCAATTTAATCAGCATCTGTGTCTGTTCCAGGTTCACGCTGTTGAAAACGACCATTGCTCTATAACGTGTCTCAACACCTGGGAGAGCTTATCTCTCCATTTATTCCATTTTTATAAGATCAGTATAGTTTTCCATCGACATTTATTTGTCAGAAGGAAATGTAGGGTAGTATTAAATTTATAGTCCAATAATGGGGATTGTAAGTGCAATTGCACTGATGGTATAATTTGAGGAAGAACCGACATCATAACCATTATTAGCTCATCCTGTCCAAGAGTGTGGGCGATTTTCCATGTATTCAGATCACCTGCATTTTTGTTAGTGGTTACAGTTCTGACTTTGGAGGTGTTGTATGTTTTGGGTTAATTCCTAGATATTTTATAACAGAGGTTTTCCAAGTGTGATATGAGGAACCCTGTGGTCCATCAGGTCCTCACCCTTCTAGTTACATGTGAGGATGTATTTCGCAAATGCTTCAACTGAGAGACCATATTGTCACGGACTGAATGAAGAAGCAGATGCGAGTGCCAGGTTGTCTCCCCTCAAGGCAGACGTTGGACGTATCTTTAAAAATGCAAAACCAGGCCCCTCTTCGCACTACTTGTTTTTTGAGAACTGTGATTACTTTCCTAAAAATATATTACTCATATTAACATGAAATAGGCTTATTATTGTTCTTTTAAATATACTGAATATTTTTAAAGATTCTCAGTTTTAATTTCCAATACAGTAAAAGTTGATAATTATAATTCACCCCAACAAAAGCCCTTTCGTGGCCTCAATACCTTTGAGTGTGAAGGGATCCTGAGACCAAAATGCTTGAGAGCTGTTTCTTCACAGTTTGTGTCGCTATTGGATATGCTATCCTACTGTTTGCTTAAATCCTACATGTTCAATGATTCTTCCTGGTGTAATACCATGAGGAAGTCTATGAGTCTTGTGAATTGATTTGCCTCCTGCAGCACTGTGTTCTCCTGTTGTTGTAACGTGTCATGTGCTGACTCTTCGATCTTTTCCTGGTGGGTGATCGCGTCCTTCCCTTCCAGTCCTGATACACCTTCTTTCTCTTCTCCCCTCGTAGCACCACTCATGACTGTCAGTTCCACTGGAAAGAGCAGCAGAGACAGTGAGTAGGCTTGTCTTCTTCCTGATCCTAAAATTCTGCATCTAAATCTTTCCCCATTTGTTATGCTATTAGTAGTTTCATAGCTTATATTATCTATCCAGCTAAGAAAGTCCCCTTCCACAGCACGTTGCAAACAGGCTTTTTAACAAAATCATAAATGCATCTGTATATTAAATAATTATTTTGTAGAACTAAAACTATATAATGTTATTACGTCTCAAAAAAATCATAAATAGGACTTGAATTTTAGAATTATTCCTACCTTGATTGAAATAAGTATATGTTTTTTTCTTTTTTCTTTTATTCATGTATTGAATCTCATGGTAGGTTTTCTGATGCCCAACCATCCTTGTCATTCATGGGATAAACATACACCAGTTAATCATACAATTTTTCTTTGTGAGTAAGATTCGCCCTGAACTAACATTTGCTGCCAATCCTCCTCTATTTTTTTGCATGTGAGACACCTGCACAGCGTGGTTGGTGAGTGGAGTAGATCTATGCCTGGCATTGGAACCCACCAACTCGGGCAGCTGAAGTGGAGTACATGGAAGTTTAACCACTCGGCCACGGGGCCTAGCCCATAATGTACCATTTTTCGTAAAACATGGGGTTGGACTAGGTTTTGTCTTATTATGGGTACATTAGTCCACATGGACTGGGGAAGCACGAACGTCTGTTCTTATAAACATTCTATGTGGTTTTCGAATCAAGTTTGCTTCAACGTGACAAAGTGAGTGCAGTAGATTTCATATATTTTCTATGCTTTTTTGAGGAACATGTATAAGACACCAACTGTTCCTTAAAAGTTCAGGAGAGCTCACCTGCAGACCCGCTGGGGCCGTGATGTTAGGGAGGGAAGGTCCTAACTAAACATTTCAGTTTCTTTAACTTATTTGAGCATCCAGGGCCCCTATTGTTTCCTGCCCAGTTTTGGAATATTATATTTTCTAAGAATTTATTCATTTCATCCACAGTTTCAAATTTGTTAACTTACAATCCCCTTACTATTTTTATTTTAAAATACTTATTATTTCTATAGTTACTTCCCAATTTTGTGGCATCTTCTCCTTGTTTCTTACTATCTACTGATTTTTGGCAATAAACTCATTCTGCTTTTATTGCACACGATTTTGTTCTCATAAGGCTTCTGGAAAATGTATGTCAATCTATATTATTCATATAGTACTGTTTTTGTTTAAAAATTTAATATTGGATGCTCAAATTATCTAATTATTATTTCTTAATTTATTTTAAGATTTACTATTGAAACAAAAGAGTATTTAACAAAAAATTTAGCTTCCAAACATGTAGGATTTGAAAAGCTGTTCCTTCTCTATTGGTTTCTGTTTATGGGTATCATAGCTTGTATAATATTTATACTTTGCAATTGATGAAGGATTTTTTTGTGTCCTAACACAAGGCCAATATTTGTAGAAGTCTTCTATGTCCTGGAAAGAATGTTTAAGCTCTCTTTTTTGAGCACTCTAAATATATCCAAAAGCAATTGTCTGAAAATTATTAACTGCATTAATAATTCACAAACTGCATTTCCGAACTCTGTTATAATTTCTAATCATAATATTAATCTGTCTATTATTGATTTAGCTCCTTCTATTTATATGTGTTTCACTGAAGTTGTGTTGATCATTTGTTACTTAATATCCAGGGTATATTGTTATATTCATTAACGATATTTATGCTGCTTGCTTAAATGTTCTTCTAACCTTTATAAAATATTATCCTTTAGTCCTTGGTGTGTTTGTGTAATTTTTAAATTTCAGTATGCATTTTAAAACTGAGAATAGTTTCCTTCATATCCAAAATAACAAGATAACACTTAAAATTAACAAATAAATTAGTGATAATTCCTTAAAATGTTTCACACCTAATCATACATTCATACCATGAACAACATTTTCTCTATTGCCTTAAAAACACTTTACAGGTAATTGATCTAAATCAGGATCCAATCTAGTATGCTATACTGTTATGTCCCTTGAATTTCACGCCATCCTTTTCATAACCCTGATTTGTTGACGAGCACGACCGACTGTTCTGAGGAATACTCCACTTCCTAGATTGGTCTAATTGCTCCTCACAGTGTCATTTAGCTTGTTCCTCCATCCTCCAGACAATGATAATTCCTTCTGATGCTCAAATTGTTATAGCTTTGGCCAACGAACACGTTTTCTCTCTGATTCTTGTATCCTTTTAACATCACCCATTACTCAGAGAAAGTTCTAGTTCACAGCGGCAAGGATGTCCTAGGCTTGCTTCCATGCCAGGCCATTCTCCAGGAACTCTGCTTGTCGGTAATGACTTATGGTAATAGAGACATTATGTTTGTTGTTTCCTTAAATTCCATTTTGTCTGTATTTGATATTGCTGCCTCAGCTTTCCTTTGGTGCATTATGCCTGGCATATATTTGTCCATCATTTTATTTTCAAACTTTCTGTTCAGTTTATATAGAATAGTAAATGCAAAATATGAAATAAGATGTCAGAAGTAAGTACCAATAAAACAGTACTAAAACAAATGTAAATAGGTTAAATAATCAAAAGACAAGACTCTCAGAGAATTTTTCTTTGAACTGCCAAATCCAAATATATGATCTAGAACAGGAACACTATTCAAGAGAACGTGATGCTGCCCATCTGTGTCTCTCTGTAATCGTTCCAAATATGGGGACTTTTCAGCAATTTAGTCGCTGTTAGCAAAAACATTTAGTAGTCAGACTCTGTTTTCAGTGCTTAATAGAGTGATCTCATGTTATCCCTATCACAATGCTTCATGGTAAAAACTATTAACATTTCCTCCATTTTGCTGATGAATATTGTGGGACCCAGAAAAGCTAAGCAACTTATTCAAACCTGAGAGCTCTGAAATTGTCATTTAATTGTGTTAGAGCCTATGTTTTAACCACTGTGCCCTCATTCTGTTTTCTGATCTGAGCAGATGCAGCATCCTGGCCTGGTCAGAACTGGAGCACGGTGACTGAATTCATCCTCATTGGCTTCTCCACGTTCCCCCAGCATCTCCTGCCCATCTTCTTCTTCCTCTACCTGCTGATGTACCTGTTCACGTTGCTGGGGAACCTGCTCATCATGGCCACCATCTGGAGTGAGCACAGCCTCCACACTCCCATGTACCTCTTCCTGTGTGCCCTCTCCATCTCTGAGATTCTGTTCACTGTAGCTGTCACCCCTCGCATGCTGGTGGACATGCTCTCCACCCATCACTCCATCACCTTTGTGGCCTGTGCCAGCCAGATGTTCTTCTCCTTCACGTTTGGCTTCACCCACTCCTTCCTGCTCATGATCATGGGCTATGACCGCTACGTGGCCATCTGTCACCCTCTGTGCTACAATGTGCTCATGGGCACCCAAGGCTGTGCGAGTCTCGTGTTCTGGTCCTGGGCTGGTGGCTCAGTCATGGGGATGATGGTGACTTTGATAGTTTTTCACCTCACCTTCTGTGGGTCTAATATGATCCACCATTTTGCCTGCCACGTGCTTCCCCTCTTGAAATTGTCCTGTGGGAGGGAGACATCCTCTGTCACCTTGGGTGTGATCCTGGTGTGTGTCACGGCTCTGTTGGGCTGTTTGTTCCTCACCTTCCTCTCCTATGTCTTCATCGTGGCTGCCATCTTGAGGATCCCCTCAGCTGAGGGCCGGCACAAGACCTTCTCCACATGTGTGTCCCATCTCACTGTGGTGGTCGTGCACTACGGTTTTGCCTCCATCATCTACCTCAAGCCCAAGGGCCCTCATTCTATGGACAGTAACACCCTGATGGCCACCACCTATACAGTCTTCACGCCCTTTCTTAGCGCAATCATTTTCAGCCTCAGGAATAAGGAGCTGAAGAATGCCATAAAAAAAAGCTTCTTCAGAAAAGTCTGTCCTGTGAGCTCCTGACAAACAGTTTGGGGGTGAGGAACTATGATAGAAGGGCTGAGATAATGATCTGTCCCCATAAGGCTGTTGTAAGGGCTCAGGTGTGTGAAAATACCTACACCCCATAGGATGTCGATGAAGCTATCGATTTGTTTCTCCTCAGTTTGCTTGTCCTACTCTTGACTAGGCCTAAGCAATCATGATCCCTTGTTTATAAACCAGAGTGATGAACTCCGCCTCATTATCTGAGCCAAGACTGAGTTATCTCTCTGTAGGTGGGTGAGTGGCATCACGTCGATGTGTCTGGGTACTGATGCACTTGGCCCTTCTTGAATGGACAAGCAAGAAAATGCTTTATTTCCCTCCACCAAGTAAGAATAAACAATAATAATAATAATAATAAATGCCACCAGCATTAGACCTTTTCTCTGTATCAGGCATTGTATCTAGTGTTTTATTATTGTCTTTTAAATTATTCAAAATGTGCACAAGATAATAAAGTATGTGTCTCTGAGAAAATGGGTTACGGTTTGCAATTCCTCACTGCCTGTGGGAGGGATGGATTCTACGAGAGTTTTCTTACATTGAGCCAAGTTGAGTAAAGGAATCAGAATCAATACAGAGAGAGACCGAGAGAGAAGGAAAGAGAGAGAGAGAGCAGGTCAGTAGGAATAGAGTCCTTTAAATCAATCTGAACTGGAATTAGATGAAAAAGAATATCAGGCAAAATCTGGGAAAGGGAGGAAGAAGGAGAAGCAGGTTGGTAAGAGAGCAATTTGCCCCTGAGGAAGGGATAGAGAAGGGAGATGTGGGAGGTAAGGATTCAGGAAGGGAGGGAGAGAGAGAAGGAGAGGAGCGAGACAAAGGGATGGGGTTCAGTGTTTGGGTAAGACCATAAAGCATGTTAAAAAGGTGTTGCAATCTGACATCTTGTGGAAATCCTTTTATCTTTTTCTCCACATATTTGTTAAAAACCTGTTAATGTCTCATTACTGTGGTTGTGTTGCAGCTATTTGGAGGATGTGTTGAAAGGCAGAAGTTCAACCTCAAGATGAGCTGGGGCCTCTCTGAGAGAGAGTCAGCAGGGGATCCTTGCTATGTGTGCAGAGTTGGAGGTTGAGTGGAGGCTGCAGGGCCCCAAAGGCCAACTGAGGTCCCTCCTGGCCTCTCCAGACCCTGTGGACAGATCCTCTAGGTTGGCGTCCCAGAGAGGCCCTGGGGAGCAGCGTGCTGGGAAGGCTGCAGCAGGGATAAAGCACATGGCCTCAGCTGGAGGAGCCCCGAGGTCTGCTCCACACCTGCCTATGTGTGCTGCTCACAGCATCAAGCAGGAGAGCTTCTTCTGCCCTCCCCTGCTGGAGGCTTCATGGGAGAGGCGGCCCAGGCTGAGGGAGACCAGGACTGTGAGGGTAGGAGGGCAGGATCAGACAGTTGTCGGGAGGGGAGTGCTGCCCAGCCTGGACATGGGGTCAGGACCCGGGAGAAGGGTCCTAAGAGAGGCTCCTTCTTTGGGAGGGATCTTCTCAGGTTACTTCTTCTGGGTCCCTGCTTCTCACCCACCTGGGTGCCCTTTGTAGCCTCTAGGTCAGTGATTCTCATGTTGGGTGATTCTGACCCCTATGGAATACTTGTACATGTCTGGAGATACGTTTGGTTGTTTTACTCACGAGGAGGGAGGGATGCTACTGGCATTGGTGGACCGGGGCCAGGAAAGCTACCAAACATTGTACAATCCTGTAGTAGGGTAGTACACTGTTTCAACTAATGAACCAATATGGATACATTATTGTAACTGAATTCCGTACTTTACTTTAGGTTTCACTCTTTGTGTTGTACATTCTACGGGTTTTGACAAAGGAATACTGACAAGTATCCACCGTTGCAGTATCATACAGAGTAGTTTCATGTGCTATATCTTTAATGTGTTCAAATGGAATTATGCCAGAGAGGTTTTCCTCTGTTTTGCTTTATTCTCTCATAATATTTTGAAGAATCATATCCCCTGCCCTGTGTACATTTAACTCCTGCCTGGGGGACCAGAGTTTGTGTACAACCCATCTTACCTGTCCTCTCCCTCGTTACGGACAGGCAGGCTTGTCCCATTCCTCTACTAGAGCAATGCTACAAGGAAGATCCTCTTACACACTCCCCTAGAACTAGGTATGAGGAACCGAAACAGATGCTCAGGAGCAAAATGACAGGTACACAGAGCATGTGCTCTCTTAATTTTCATCATTGCATGTTCCAGCAGCCGTGCTCCAGCAACCTTTCTCCCCACAGCCTGGTCAACTCGGGGCATGTTTTGATGCAGGGGACTGAACAGCTGCGCAGTGAAATTCCATTGTTCTCTCTCTTTTTCCCGTTATTACTCTTTTCAGCATCTTTCCATTTACCTGGGTACCTCTTTCTGTGTTTTGTCTGCTCATGACCTTCACTCATTTCTGTACTGAAGTTCCTACTTCTTCTTTTTTTTTCTTTTTAAATATTGGCACCTGAGTTAACAATGGTTGCCAATCTTCTTTCTTTTTCTGCTTTCCCACCCCTAAATCCCAGCTGTACGTAGTTGTATATTTTAGTTGTGGGTCCTTCTAGTTGTGGCATAGGACAATGCAAATGCTCTTTTCCCAACTTTCCATCTGCCTGTCAACTTTATCCAGGACGTTCTCTGTTGAACAAAATCCTTCATGTTGATGTTTTCTATCTTTTCAAAATCGCCTTACCATTTGTGCTTGAAAAATTTTGCTAAGAGTTCCTTCTCCACTGCTAGATCAACAAAATTATTTTTCGACACTTTCTCCTGTTAACCTTATAGTCTACATTTCATATTTGTGTCTTGTTCCATCTGGATTCCACATTTGCATGTGGTCTTAGGCAGAAATTTAGATTAACTTTCCTTCATAATATGAGCATTTTCCCCACATAAACTAGTAAAGAATCCATCTTTTCCTTTGACTCCTGTAGCTGCCTTTATCATACATTAGGTTTTGATAATGCAGGCATGTTTTCTGAGACAATCAATCGCTTTAATCAGTGTCTGTGTATGTTCCACGTTTATCTTGTTAAAAATGACTATGACTGTATAATGTGTCTCAATCTCTGCAAAGGCTTATGTCTCCCAATTGCTCGTTGTTATTTTCTTTTAACTTTTTATTGAGATTATGATGATTTACAACCTTGTGCAATTTCAGTCGTACATTATTGTTTGTCAGTCGTGTTGTAGCTGCACCACTTCACCCTTTGTCCCCAGCCCCATTCCCCCTTTCCCCAGTAGCCACTAGGCTGTTCTCTTTGTCCACATGTTTAACTTCCGCATATGAGTGGAGTCATACAGAGATTGTCTTTCTCTATCTGGATTATTTCACTTAACATAATACCCTCAATGTCCATCCACGTTGTTGTGAATGAGACGATTTTACCCTTTTTTTGGCTGACTGGTATTCCATTGTGTGTATATATATATATATATACACCCTATCTTCTTTATCCAATTATCAGTTGATGGGCACTTAGGTTGCTTCCACGTCTTGGTTATTGCAAATAATGCTGCAATGAACATAGCGGTGCATGGGCCTTTTGGAATTGCTGACTTCAAGCTCTTTGGATAGATACCCAGTAGTGGGATGGCTGGGTCATATGGTATTTGTATTTTTAACTTTTTGAGAAATCTCCACACTGTTGTCCATAGTGGCTGCACCAGTTTACATTTCCACCAGTAGTGTATGAGGGTTCCTTTTTCTCCACAACCTCTCCAACACTTGTTACTTTTTGTTTTGGTTATTTTTGCCATTCTAATGAGTGTAAGGTGATATCTTAGTGTAGTTTTGATTTGCAGTTCCCTGATGATCAGTGATGATGAGCATCTTTTCACGTGCCTATTGGCCATCTGTATATCTTCTTTGGAGAAATGTCTGTTCATGTCACCTGCCCCTTATTTGATTGGGTTGTTTGAGTTTTTGTTCTTGAGCTGTGTGTGTTCTTTATATATTATGGAGATTAACCCTTTGTCGGATATATGACTTGCAAATATTTTTTCCCAGTTGGTGCGTTGTTTTTTTGTTTCAATCCTGTTTTCCCTTGCCTTGAAGAAGCTCTTCAGTCTGATGCATTCCCATTTGTTTATTCTTTCTAGTGTTTCCCTTGTCTGAGAAGACATGGTGTCCGAAAAGGTCCTTTTGATACTGATGTCAAAGAGTGTACTGCCTAGATTTTCTTCTAGAAGCCTTATGGTTTCAGGTCTTACCTTTAGGTTTTTGATCCATTTTGAGTTTATTTTTGTGACTGGGAAAAAGAATGGTCATTTTCATTCTTTTACATGTGGCTTTCCAGTTTTCCCAGCACCATTTGTTGAAGAGACTTGCTTTTCTCCAGTGTATCCCCTCCACTCCTTTGTCGAACATTAGCTCTCCATAGATGTGTGGTTTTATTCCTGGGCTTTCAATTCTGTTCCATTGATCTGTGCAGCTGTTTTTCTACCAGTACCGTGCTGTTCTGATTCCTGTAGCTTTGTAGTATGCTTTGAAGTCAGGGATTGTTCTGGCTCCAGCTTTGTTCTTTTTTCTCAGGATTGCTTTAGCAATTCGGGGTCTTTTCTTGCCCCATATGAATTTTAGGATTCTTTGTTCTATTTCTGTAAAGAATGTCATAGGCATTCTGATAGGGATTGCATTGAATCTGTAGATTACTTTAGGTAGAATGGACATTTTAACTATGTTTATTCTTCCAATCCGTGTGCATGGAATGTCTTTCCATCTCTTTATGTCGTCATCCATTTCTTTTAGGAAAGTCTTGTAGTTTTCATTGTGTAGGTGTTTTACTTCCTTAGTTAAATTCACCCCATGGTATTTTATTCTTTTTGTTATGATTGTGAATGGTATTGTGTTCTTGAGTTATTTTTCTTTTAGTTCGTTATTAGAGTATAGAAATGCTACTGATTTATGTAAGTTGATTTTATACCCTGCAACTTTGCTGTAGTTGTTGATTATTTCTAATAGTTTTCCAATGGATTCCTTGGGATTTCTATATATAAGATCATGTCGTCTGCAAACAGCGAGAGTTTCACTTCTTCACTCCCGATTTGGATCCCTTTTATTACTTTTTCTTACCTAATTGCTCTGTCCAAAAGCTCCAGTACTGTGTTGAATAAAAGTGGTGATAGAGGGCATCCTTGTCTCGTTCCTGTTTCCGCGGGGATGGCACTCAGTTTTTTCCCATTGAGTATGATGTTGGCTGTGGGTTGTCATGTATGGCCTTTATTATGCTGAGGCAATTTCCTTCTAATCCCCGTTTTGTTAAGAATTTCTATCATAAATGGCTGTTGGATCCTATCAAATGCTTTCTCTGCATCTATTGAGCTGATC